AATCATCACGCTAGTTTTATTTTGCATTTGTCCTTGCTTTCCTAAGGAAAGGTTAATCCACATTAAGTAGTAACTATTAAAATAGATTAATTTGCAAGTAAACATATATTTTTGCACTCAGTTTGATTCTTATTTTTAATAGGATATATTCTAGTAATATTCATTTATTAAAGCAATTATATCTCACAGCATATATTTGCTCAAATGATTAGGTTTTTAATTTCTTGCATGTTTTAATAGTTTCTCTCAGTTTAATGATGGACAATTATATAATCTAATTTCACTTCTATTAAAACAGGCATTTATATTTCATGCAGATGTCCATGTCTTAACCCTGGAGATTTTTGGAAGAGTAAAACATGAAGGTTCTCTTGAAATTATAGTGCCTGCACAGGAGAAAAATAACAGACTACGACTATTTTATTTCTGCCTAAGGATACTAGCAGAAAATAAACTTTGCATCAAGTCTTGATAATAGCATGATATCAATGTGCCCATGTTCCACTAATAAGAATTCCCTTTGTGGACTCCATGCTGAAGGGGGTGGAGGGAGGTGGTTCTGCYCCTCTACTCTGCTTTTGTGATACTCCACTTGGAGGCCYATGAAAATAATTGGAGGGCTGAGAGAAGGGGGGCTATTTAAACTTTATTTTGGCCTTTCAGTATATAAAGGGGGTTTATAAGAAAGATGGAGAGAGGCTTTTTACTGTGGTCTGTGTTGAGAGGGCAAAGGCTAAGATATATAAATTGCAAGAACATAGATCGAGATTGAGCACAAGGACATTTTTTTACAAAGAAAGACATTTTTTACAAAGACATTTTTTGCAAAGAGGGTAGTGAGGCACTCAGACAGGTTGTGAGGAGCAATTGTGGATGCCCCATACCTGGAAGTGTTGGAGGCYGGGTTGGATGGCATTTGAGGAAATTGGTCTGGTTCAAGATGTTCCTGCCCATGGCTGGGAGGTTGAACCAGAAGAGGTTTAAGGTCCTTTCCTACCAAAATCATTCTGTGATTCCCTGAAATAGCTGAGTATTTTATGCATTGCTTATTCTCTCTAGAGAAGGGTGTGTACCTGTGTAGCTGGATAAAAGCAGGGGACTACAGCCTCTTTCCACAATTTCCCACCTGATATWCTGCAGAATAGCACTGGCAATTGTCTTTGAAGACACTTAACTAGACAGGGATGTCCAGGCAAGACAGGCAGTGCTGTACAATGCAGGGATCACAGAAGATTTCCATGCAGTAAACTCAACATTGTCAACAGAAGTCCACCTTGCCATCTAAATTGCTCTCTGGATCAAACCAGGAGCTCCAATTTATAATTCCAGGTGCTACTGACCTTTGATGCTTTGGACAACCCACTCCAACCACATCATTGGTCCCTTTGAACAATTACTGAAACTCAAAATAACCAAATTAAGTCTCTTCCATCCCATTTGCACCACATTTGCTTTGGTTATCAGGGAACACACATTTAAGTCTATCACTTGGTGCCAGGCCAATAGCCAGCATTTCCAGTACCAAGATTGGCAATTAGCCTGATGGCTRGATGGGTTCACATGAGCATAACACTGTTAATTAAATGGCAGCTGGGTTAATCAAGATAGCAAAAGTAATTTGTTGGAATAAATTTTATTAGCGTGTCCATCAATAATGAAAAATAAGAGCTTTTAATTAATTCAGTTACAAAAATATTCACTCTGTGGTGGCTGTAACTCTGTTTAAGGATCTGGAATCAGGTCTCATCAGTCAAAGGGTGTATTCCCACTTTATCACTTCTTGTTAATTGTGCTGTAGATATCAGTCACCCAACTATAACTACTTGTTTGTTAGTTACACATCAAACATTGCTGTCCCCCTTTGAGCAGCAATACCTGACAATTGATGCTAAAGGGCTCTTTTTTGTCCCTGTTGCTTTATTGTTTCAGAAACAGGCATTCTGACATTTAACTGCAGAAAGATATTCTTGGAATACAGTGGGTTATGATATCTCCTGGAATGGTTAGTCACCACATCTATTTTTTCCCCTTGAAAAGATCATGAAATTGAAAAAGGGCGAATATATATTTTTTTTTTTATTTCTCCTGGTATTAATAACTAAACAGATGGGGGAAATGGTGTGTTTTAAACAAATAGATGTCATAAATAGAACAGCTAGCAGTGATTTCTAACTTACTGAGGAGTATTTATCTACTAATGCTGAGTATAGTGTAGTATAATATAAAGAAATATATTTCTGAAAAGTAGAAAAAGGCTGCTGATTTTGCAAGAAGGTCATAGATTAGACAAAGTGTGTTTCAAAMACTGAGGAGACTGGGAAAAGATTAACTTTAAGGAGTAGGTCTACTGAAAGAGCAAGAAATAAAGCTGTTCAGACAGTTAAAACTCAGGCTTGTCATGACCCACATTTTTGGAAGAATTCTTTGGGCACTTTTCCCTATGGTTTTCTCTGTGTCAGGTTGTTTATTTCTTGTTAGAGTGGAAGCCTTGCTGTGCTTTATCTACTTGTCCAACATCTTAGACATGTGAGAAATMTGCTGGAAGCACTGACATTTTATATATGTTTTATATAAAATGCATGGATATRGAGTACAGATGTATATATTAAGAAGGAATTGCATTTATAAAAATAAAGTTAATTTAGTGCAGAATACTACTAATTAGAAAAAATAAATACATGATAGGGAAAGAGTAAATAATTCTAAATATTTGATCTTCTTTCACAAACACTTAAACCAACAAGTTGTAGGACAATTTGTTTTTATCGTGTTCATTATTTATTCAGCAGTTTTACTCTTCAAAATATTTTAGTCATGTTTGGGAAAAAAGAAACAAACACAAGTGAGTTACATAGTCAAATTGCACAGCACAAATGGTGATCAGGAAGTATTGTAAATAAACAGGTGACWTTCTGTTATGAAAAATCACCTGTGCTCTGGTGTTTCTGTGGTAGTAATGCAACATCTTTTTAAATTATGTGTAAACTTCAAGTGTCACAAGCACTACATCTCAGGTATGATTTGTCTTTTGATCTCTTGGAAGCCTTTTGGTTGTCATGCCTTAAAGGTGCTCTTAACTGTGAAGTTTAGGGGAAAATGGTGCTTTATTTGTGAAAGAATTAGCAAGCAAATGCTTTATGTGCTGGTGGCAGAACTCTAAGATGCCACTGTCATTGTCAGCAGGAGGCTGGACTGCTCTCATCACCCCCAGCATTGTCAGCAGGTGAAGGTGGGCACACGGTGACCCAGCCCTGCCCTGTCTGGGTCCCATCCTACAGCCACCAGGGMTCAGTGGGGATGGGCAGCTCAGCCATGGATCCATCCTGGCCATCTCCTCTGAGCTGGTTTGCATTTTGCTCGCTCAGAGCATCAGTGGTGTTCACCTGAGAGAGGCTGTGGCGATGCCACCCGGCAACCTGGACACAGAAAAGCAGTCAAGGATGATGCTGTGGTCTGCTCAGAACGAGAGGAAAGTTGGATTAAAGTCACTTTTTGTGAAAATACCAGCGAGGTGAATGCCCTGGAGAGGCAGCTCTGACAGGACTGTGCCACACTGCTGTGAAAACCCTCATTCACAAACAGCTCGGCTTCAGCATACTGTAGCTTAATTCTCCGTGGGAAGATTAATCCCTTGGAGAAGGATTAAGCTGCAGTGAACTAGGGCCACTTTATTTCTGAATGGGAAAGGCCACACAGGGATTTAATGTACTTTATCTTATGTGCATTGATTTCACAGCTTTAGTTAATTCATCTTAACTTCCCTGAATTCCCTTGTGTGGACAAGCTTTTTGTCTGCAGAGAGGCTTTTGGAGCTGCTTGCTTGTGCAGCCCAACCAGAAAGCAGCTTGGAATGATTTCTGTGCTTCTGAAGGAGCTTATACCTGTCTAGATACTATTAAATTACCTCTTTCTCAGATGGTTGATCTGTGACATCCTTAGAAGGACTGYTTTAATTAGATTTTTTGAATGGACCAGAGAAAAAGGAGTTTTCTTAAAACTAATCTCTGGGCTATTTTGGAATCTCTCATGAAGAGTCTTTTCAAGGCTTTCAGATGGCATGAATTGTGTACAGCTGCACAATATTTTCTCAATCTGGACATGTCTGGGCAGTGCAGTTTAATAGGTTTTCTTGCCCAGTGGGATTTTCTTCTTCTTTGGTCATGGTCATAAARAAACATTTTGTCTGTATGGATAAGGAGCAAATGGAGCTACTATCTCTTGATGCTGAAGATCTTAATGCCTTCCTCTTGGTGGCACGAGCAACACAGATCTGGGTTAAGGAGGATGTTTTCGTGGATGCTGTTAAAATAATGGCATGGTTTGACTGTTGCTCTCCTTTGGGGAAATGATTCTCTTCATTTCCTGCAGAGTTAATGTGAATTACTGACAGGGCCTTCTGATAAAGCATTTCCTCATGCTGATGAATCATAACCCAGTTTTACTGTTCAGCTGCTTCAATTTAAACTTTTGCCAAACAGTTCTTCACTGGGACACTTCATGAAACACAAAAAAATATCTCTTGTGGATTCCACAGAAGTGTTACTATGACTCAATTCTGTAGCAGTCAATAAATATTTTGCYATTTTAGTAAGTATATGAGGTGCATAAGGGGTGCACATTCATGTGGGAAAATTCATGGGAGAACAGAGGTATTGAAGAACAAAGAAATTTAAATAATAGCTAAACATCAAGGTGCAGATGTTTTCCACCAGTCTTTCTCTATGGCAATGTTCATCAATATTGATCCCAGTGAGACTAGGAAAATATTGTAAAATATAAAATGCAGACCTATATCTAAAATATATGTTATGCAACATGAGCAAAAGAGAAGRAATTCCTTTAATTTAGGTGTTTGTGACCATTTGCACCAAAATTTGCAAATGCAGGAGTTAGAAGTAAATAAATTTTTTAATTTAGCTGTGATTTTCATATCCTTGTAGTAAAAACTTTATAAGTGTCCAATRTTTTCTAATGATTGCTTTTTCTCTTCTTCCACACAGCTGATTGGATTTGTGTATGCCTGTTACGTGATCAGTATTTTCATGGAGGATGAGGACAGCTGTAAGTACTGATACAGAACTCTCCATCTGGAGTCAAGGTACCTGGGCTGACACTTACTCTTGAATTAAACTGTCAAAGCAAAGTTTGAACAATGGCAGAATCTGSCATTCATGTGCACAACAAATTATGGTTAAAGATGTATTTATTTAGCCTACCAAGTTTTCTAGGTAGGATTGCGCTTTCTGAACTTTATAGAAATTTGTGAACATCTTAYGTGAGCCAGTCACAGTGATGAAAATGATATGATCCATGTTACATGCATATAGATAAATATATGTCTTTGTATCTGTACATTTACATTTGAATCAAAGCTCCTAAAGCCTCTTAGTCTGTTTTTCCAACTGACAGCTTTATCAACAGTAAAATTAATGGAAATGGTAGACCAAGGCATTTACAGTGGGCAGTATCACTCTGATCAGTAATTAGATAAACCTGATCTGTGCTTACAGTCACCTAGACCATGTATTTAAAATGCTGACCCCATATTCTTAACTTGCCTTTGTCAATAAAACCCTTCTATACATATTTATATTATTCCAAGAGTTCAAAAATGTGCACACTTTAAAAAATCAGTTTCTCAACAAGTCATTGAAAGGGTATTGGAGAGCTCTGAATATGCTGAACATTTTGGTRGGATGCTGTGTGAAAAGAGGTTGTGAGAATTGGCTAAGGATGTCACCAGGCCCATATGACTGTGATAGCCATTGGTAAAAACAGTAGAGAGTGTGGAAAAATATTGGATGAGCAGAGGAGCAAATACAAGAAAAACTCTAAAAAAGGGACAACATGTGATCATGTAAATTACTTCCTCTCATTTATAAAGAGGTAAACAGTAAAATATCTCTCTCTAGGGGGAAAGAAATAGTGAATGTCAATAGCATTTTATGGTTACAGGATAAATAACATGCAACCAAATATTTATTTATAAACTTTTATTAATCAATCTTTACACAGTTGTTTTGCTTCTTCGCAAAATAGCTCTAGTGGGTGAATATCATAGGAAAAATTAATTTMGTTTGTAGGAAAGTATTTGATAATACCTGGAAAATCTTATTGAAAATATAATTCAAGTAATTCATGTCTATGATGGAAAAGCAGGCTGATTGAAAACAGTGTGAAGGACTATAAACAAAGTTTTTTTCCATTGCTACAAATGGCACAWTGTTCAGTTCTCCATCATAATACAACTGACATGAATACCAAATCTATTTTAMCACTTTCATATAAGTTTTTATTAGGAAGAAAATATATCAAAGAGATTCTCAGATAAAATCGTGTGGGAAGGATTCATAAACAGTGGTGCTTCAAAACAGATTGAAAGTAAAGAGTATTTACATTAAGATAGAAGTCAAAAAAACTGCAACTAGACACCAATTTTATGCATTTTAACATATTAAAATGCAGCAGATTTTTTCCTTAGGTAGATGCACCTTTTCASTCATATTTTAGCAGTAGTTTGGGCAGAATAAATCCTCAGCCATCTGAGAGTCAAAGCCTCCCTAATTAAATATACTCTGCAATATTCAGTGCATCAAGTTAACCCCAGTTCTTGGTCTGAAACCCATCAGGCAGATTTAAAAATTAATAATAGCTGCCTGTTTAGCCTCTGTGCAGTGCTTAAATGGATTTTGAGCCTGACATTTCAGCTGATGGACACTTTTCTGAACAGTAATAATGCTTGAGGAAACATTTATTTCCAGCTATTTCTCRCCTTACCTATGTTTCATACTGTAGTTAACTTTTGCTTAGAAGGAAGATGATAGCAGGTCAAAAGGAAGGRAAAAAAAAAAAGACAAGWGAAAGGCACACTGCTGYAGTGGGGTTAATACCTTCCATCATTCATCCTAATGAAAAAGTCTATTTATATCTCTTCCCTTCATTTTTTCATTTCTTTCTTTGTAGATCTATCAATCTCTATAAGCCCTTTCGAAGGAATAGAATATGTGAAATCTGTAATCGTAAAAGCCTGTCACTATCCTGTTTGTGAATCATTTTCTCCTAAAAATGAACTCAGAAACTGGTTTTCACCTTGTCAGAGTTACTATTTTAATTCAGTGGAGTCTGGAGACTAGGCAAAATATATTGCTAAAATCATTATTAAATTTCTTAATAGTTTCTGRACTTTTTTGAGAAAGAGTTGATAGCACTATTGCTGCTAAATCTTAGTTCATAAATGTGACACTGACACATGTCAGAAGTGATAGGTCTGGACTGTACTGGATTTTGTGGAGTAGAAACTGATTTCTAAACAAATTGCGTAAGGAAATAACAGTGAAATCAGAGGGGAAGGTTTGCCACAAAACATAATTGAGATTTCAGCATTTTTGTAAAAATGAGGCTGAAACAATAAAAGGCCAGTCCAAGGAAACTTCAACCTTCTTTTTTTTTTTTTTTGCAAGAGCAAAAAAGGGTCTTCCATTCACCATGAAGATTTATCTCCTAAATGAAAACACAGGAAAAAAAAACTATAAAGAAATAATATTTTTTTACCTGTCCTCTTTGCTAGTTTTATTCAGAGCTCAGCTGTACTTTCAGAACAGAGAAGAAGATGAATTTGTTTTTGCAAATTACAAGTTTCCCCATATTGTGTGGGAAATATGACCCTCCATATGCCATCATTAGAAAAATATTAAGTAAAGCAAGACACATTATTACTTCCTCTGAAAAACTACTGCATTGCCTTATCTGACATATGGCATTCCATTCATACACACCATTTAGCATCTGTTGTCAGTAATCAAACAAGAGAGAAAGAATTCTTATCACATTTAATTTAATATTTATAGTTACATAGTAAGTCCAGCGGTGATAAATTTCATATAAATATGCTATTTTTTTGCAAAGTGAATTTAGAACTATCTATCTAGCAATAGCTAATATTATGTGTRTTTGRTTACCTTTATATGTAAGTATCCATSTTTCCTTAACTAAGGAGTTTTTGGGAGCCCAGTGCTAAAATCTTTACMTCAGTTGCAATTGTACATGTAGTTGAGTCCATTTACCTTCTGAGAAGAGAATTTTTGTGATRAAATGTTTAATATCAAAGATCACCAAGGAGGAGTATTCTGCACTACAGTTCTCTTGGGCAATACAAGAATCAAACATCCCCAGGCAACAACTGTCCTAAATTACCTCACTGAAAATGAGGATTTATGAAATTTGCCAAACATCAGCACAGGTCCTGGCTGGGCTTTAGTTCTCACCACTCCCACCTTTAAACCCTAATGCCTTGACACACTGAAACAAAATGTGCTGTTACTGACCAATTGATGAATATGCTTGACACAGACTTTTCAAATTTTAGTAAGTTTTACTTCTTGGCAGCACTACAGCTGCCAGGTTGACAGCATTCTCCTGGCTTTGGCATTTCTGGAAAATGGGAGTGACTCTCTGTATTTTTGGAAAGTTTGAAAGCAGTTTGCATCTTTCTATTCATCGGGACAAGAAACCCAAGACCCCAGAATTTTGATTCACCTATTTTGGGAAAGCAACAGAATCAGATGTTTTTGCCAGGTATACATTTTGCTCGGTGTGGAATAATAGTGGATTCATAACCAAATGTATTCTGCAATTCAGCTGAACAGTTTGCTAAAAATAAACAAAGGCAGCCTCCTGCAGAGTTGAAGTGTCCAACATACCTGTCCTCAAACGTGGTCTGTGACATCTGGAAAGCCAGGGAGCCCAGCCAATGCCACAGGGGATTCCTGCTGCCCCTTGCACTGAGGTGCTGCCCACGTTTCAGGGTGGCTCATTCCCTGCTAGCAGCCACTGCCATCATCTTGCAGATGCCTACCTTGAGCTGAAGGGAGTTGCAGTGTGACCAGAAGTGTCACCAGGCATGTCCAGGGGGCTTCCTCAGTTCAGCTGTGGTCCAGGACAACCCCACCAAACCTTTAATGGAGACAAATGTCCAGCTGCAGTTTCTGTAGCCTCTAGAGGACAGAGCTTGTTGTTTAGATGCAGACTCACCTGTTCACTACCCTACTTATACCTGACTGCACCTTCTCCTGTAGYGGAAATAAAATGGATTAACCTCTATTCCAACAACACTTTCTGGTCTAACAACATTGTATGATCTTACAGTCCTACTGGTGTCCTCTTATCCATCATTATCCTTAGTGTGTGAATTAATTGAAAATGCGTGCTCATTCCTACACTAAACTAACACAGTGAATTCTGAATCACGTAATGAAGGAAGAAATACTGCTGGGACATTACTCTATTTAAATTACTTCTACATAAGCTTGCAATTTATTTTGGGTTTGTTTTTTTTCTTTTTTCACATCTTGTTATCATGCATTGCAAGAGAAGGCATTTGTTCTAGTTCCTATGGAAACTTGTGCATTGATATAATGCATACAACCATTTAAAAATCCTTAAAATCTTAGCAGTGGTGTAAAACAAATGCAATTAAACAATATAAATATTAATACTGAGAAAAAATCTTGATTCTAGATAGGTTATTGACAAACAAATTGCAACTAAGGTATGATCCCCCCTTACTTTTTTTCTGCTTAAAAACCATGGATGTATAATCTGTCAAAGGAAAGCAACACTAAAAAAATATATATACCTATGAAACTGTCTGCTTTTACATTGTCCTTGCAAAACATACAAAATAGTTTTGTTTCGAGTTGTATTCTCCACTGACTTTTGCAGAATGCTGTTCCAGCTAAGAGATTGTCTTTAAATCATAGATGGTGCACAGGGCATGGAGAGGGAAATCTTAACTATGGAATATTTCTAGCAGCAGCAGCAGTAACCTGCTTGAAAGTACCACATGTTTCATGTGGAATGCAGCATGCAAGGTTTGTCCAGACAGGGTGCAGACAAAGCATGAGGAAATGGCATCATCTAAATGACCTGTGAACTTACTCCAATTTTTCATTGGTAGAACATAGCTTTCTCTAAAGTGTGAATCAAATAATTTGAGGAAAACCCCCTTGAGTTTTTAAACCACTTTAGCAGAATATTTTAGTCTATCTTCAGTAAAGAATTAA